GGCAGTGGTGCAGCAGAGCACACACCACCTGCAAATCAAACCAACCCGGATCCTGCGGCAGCTGTTGAACCGGAGGTGGGTTGAAAAGAATGTCTTGTGTATTTTTAATCAGAAGTTTGAATTATATAACCTCATGATTTTGAATAGTAGCTTCATAACCACAGTACAATCAAAGCATGTGGCTGTAGGGATTATGTTTGTGTGTAACATTGTAGTTAAAGAACTGGAGAAGGGGAATTGGTGTGAAGATGGAAGTAGGAAACTCATGACAAGTTGCATTTCCTCATTTGTCAGGGCTGCAGGTTCTACATCTGCAGTACGTGTTAGGGAAGGGACCAAGAACATAGGGAGAGCCCAACACTGCATGTTTCACCTGGCTCGATGTGTTGTAACATTTTGCTTCAGTGGGCTCAATATAGCAGAAATGTGAAATAGCATTATAGTAACAAAGATAAACAAAAGCACATTGTTTTTCTTTAGTATTTAAACCCTGCAATCCTTCCTCCTGGATCTGGACTTCCTGTTTCTAACCCTGATGGCTCCCAATCAGGCGAGGTAAGGCTTGATTCAAAGTAGCTAGTTAATGACTTTTGCAGCGTATTTTAACCATTAATTTGTAGTGGACTTAACATGGGCCATCTAAAACAACAAGTAACTGATTCAGTTGCTGATGACTAGCCGAGATGGAATCGTATGACTGCCTCAAGTTGTACAGCAAAGACCTCTAAGCCCATAGGAGTTCAGCTTCCGTGTCCTACATTCTGTGGTGTGATCTCCTTTTTCTATATAATTAGACTTTTATGAGCCTTTTTCAGAGTAAAATGTCAATATAGCAGTTTGAGGATGTCTTCTTGCCTCCATGCATGCATATAATTTCACTAATATTAAGTGCAAGACACAATGAGAAGAATAGATTGCTATGTGCCAGGCAGAGTAACATTACCTTTGTTCCTACTAAATGTTTTCTATATCTACATAATTTTGTGCTTTAAGAAGTCCTTTTGATTTAAACTAACTTCTGGCTTTACATATTTTTTTTTTTTTAACTTGAAGTTGGTTTAACCTTTGGCAGTGAGATTTTTAAAATTAAATAAAACAACTGAAGGCTTGGGGCAGTGACATGCATGACGACTTTTTTATTTGTGTTTTTTTGTATTTGTGTGTTCTTGCTGTTTTGTAGCTTTCGCGCTCTAGTTCAATGAGTTCATTATCACGTGAAGTAAGCCAGCATTTTAATCAGGTACATGTGGCTGGCCATTCTCATTTATGTTAACTTATTTACTTTTCCCCTCTTTATTTTGCATTTGCTCAAATACTTACTAATGCTGCTTTTAGTTATTTTCCCCTCTTCCCATTTCACAGAAATAACATTAAAAGTAACTAATGATGTAGTGTTCCTTTTAACACTGAAACAGGGTCTTTAGAGTTTCTTGTATTTATGAGAATGCATGTAATCCAGGCATGCTTTTTGTTTATGTCCATGTTCCTAAAAGAGTCACTTAATTTTGATCAGCTCTTTCCTGGGATACCAAAGTAGTCCATTGATTTTAAACAAACAAATCAAAATGAAAACCCAAAAAAAACCTCCTAAAAAGACTCACATAAGCAAAACCTTCTCATTCTGCTGCTGCCAGTCTCAAATCAGTAATAATATCATCACCTGTTTCATGTGCAAAAGCCCCTGTAGGAATTAAAGGAATGCTTCATCTCTGCTGTAAGTTCCAGTACTGTGGGGTACCCATAAAGGGGTGACACAAACTCTTTCTGATACTTCTTAGTAAAGCAAAACTTGACATAGAATATTTATTTTGGGGCAAGTCTAAGGTCTACTAACAAAAGCAGAAGGTACTAATTCAGTGAAGTCACACCGGTGTCTTGTTTTGGTTTTGCATGCTTTGGATTTTTTCAGAGCTATTTACAGTTTATGCATGTGACATTGTTTTGCCAATTCCTACATTAAGCAAGTAATATTAAAGATATGGATGCAAACTGTACCAGCACTTTTTGCAGTTGTTACAATATGCTGTGCTCTCCATACTGTTGGCATTATTACTGTGAATATTTGCTCTGTATGACTAAGCAAACCACATCTGAGAGGCAGCGAAGCTCTGCAGTTCTGTAACTTCAGTTTTATCTACTTTCCAGCCTGCTGCTGCACCACCTCCGGGGGGACCTTCAGCAGGAACAGTCCCATTCTACAATCCTTCTCAATTTGCACAAGTGAGTAAAGGCCTCATCTTTACTTTTAAAACTATTAAACAAAACCATCATTTTATGTTTTACTGGCTTAATCCGGACTGTTGCATGTAGAGTGTTGAATTTTCACATAGAGCGGTCTAGCACCTGTTTTACAGGTTTGCATTCAAAACTTCATTGCCAACGTTTAGTATTTTGTCTCCAGTATGACACTTTCACAGAACATTTTTTTTTTATTTTAAATTCCTGTTCTCCTTTTTCAGTCTCCTGCAGTCACTGGAAGTTCAAGACTGGGAAGAATTGGACAGAGGAAGTATCCCACACTGAAGTAGAGTACAGTGGCTTTGTATTTGGAATTCTCACTCGTGTTCTGAGTATACCAAGAACTATTCAATCTTACGGCACATGGTATCAGTACTAGCTGCAGGTTGACGTGACAGAAATTTAATGATGGGTGATTTTTTTTTTCATGGGTCTCCCTACTTGCACCTCATCTACACAGATCATTACCAAACATGAAATATATGTAACTTTTCCTTTTTTAAAAAACAAAATGGCTAGAAATAGCTTTGCTGTGATAAAGAATAGACACAAGGGAGGAAATAGTTGCTGTCTGTTACAAAAACTATTTGTAAATTGCATAGGCAATTTATTCCTTAAGTTTATTTTAAACCTACTAGTGTGACCTTTTGAAGACATAGTTTCAGGGATTCCTTAATTTCTGAAGGATACTCCCCTCCCAGCAGGGGAAAAACATGTCCACGTTGTAACATAACCCTCTGTGGCCTTAAGAGGACCATGCACAATTGTCAGGCTTATCAAACAGGACTTGGTTTGTCAGTGTATGAAATCGGAGACGTTCCTCTGGGAAATGCCTCATGCTGGTGTGTTTTCTGCAGGGGGGAGGGGGCCACAGCTCATCCAAATAAATTGACCTATATTGAATGAAAACTGTGACTGTAATCTAATACTAATTTGATTTGGATCTTACCTAGTATGTATGTAGTTTGTGGTTTAGACTACTTGTAAAGCAAATTGTATAGTCTGAAAGAAGCTCTCTGTATAATAGCCAATGCTGTACTATTTGACGAGTGAGTGTTCTTTTAAGTGCAATACGGTTACTTGCTTTTCTCTCAAACTGCTGGCACTGTTCAGTTAAGGTGGTAACAGCTTGAAAGTTGTTTTTATTCCTGTTGAGTGCCAGAATCAGTGTAATACTCTGTTCTTGAATTTCCATTACTAAAATAACCAAGGTCTTAAATAGCTAACAGCTGAATTTCAAATGTACTCAAAGTAGTCGGATTAAACCTCTGCTGATGGATTTTTAAAATCTTTAGGTTTATTAATATAGGAAATCTTGAAAACCATAATATGCAACATTCATATTCACTGAAGAATCTGAATTATCTGCAAAGAGAGAAATAAACTTTAAATATTTATTAAATCATTAGGCCATATTTTATTTAGAACTTGCCACCAAACTATTTGATTTTACTTGAATTTCTGCCCATGAGTAGAAAAAATGTGAATGTGAAATTGCCAGTGTTGGTCCCCGATTGGGTTGTTTTTTTTTTTTTCTTTTCCCAAATAATGCCACCTTCCTGAGATCTTGATAGCCTTACGTATGTCCTAAAAGGTTGGTATGTAGCTGAAGCAAAATGTTCTTTGGGGAGGGTTAGAAACCTTTGAATAATGGTCCATACTCAATTCCAGACGTGGTCAGCAGCAGCCAGCGTGGTTTACTTTTCTAGAATTGAAACCTAGTCGCACACTCGGCTTTCCTCTAGCTCAGCCAGGCTGCTGATTATTTTCTCCTTTCAGTAGAGACTGCCAAACAACTTAATTCAAGAAGGCTTCCTTTGAGCTGGGAGCAGCTATCTTTCCTAAGTGTAAGATTTGACACTGTAAATTCTTAAATAAAATATTTTGCGCTCTGGAGCACTTTCACATTTTACTTCTTCTTGTGGTTATTGCTTTAGCACTGTACTTTAAACAGAATATTCCCAGAGAAAGGGAACTAGAGCACGCTGTTCTGTGCAGGAACCGGCTTCAACCTTGTGCTGGTGCACCAGTATCCCTCATTGGAGCTGTCGACTTAAAAAAAAAAAATATATTAAGTGTAAAATGCTTTGCTTTTAAACTGCTTTTTTCAAAATACCGCCTTAATCTGGAACCCATCGGTTGGTTGGGTGATGTATTTCCCCATCCGACGCTCAGGGCGGGGGCCGGCGGCGC